TTTTAAAATTAATAATAAAACATTATGCCAGTATAGGACGCACCCACTGTTGTGTTTGTGTTCCTGCAATCATTAAAACTGTCGCGTGTTGCCAATGTAACGCGACAATAAATTCACGCAGGTCTCGGATTTAGCGAGAAAGTTTATAGGCCAGTCTCCTCTACACTTGGAGGCACGCGGTAGCGTAGTTGGTTGAGGGGTTATGCTACAAGCCGGAAGGTTGCGGGTTCAAGTCCCGATGAAGTCATTGGATTTCTTTTTCAGTTCACCTCTTCCTTCCGGCCGCACTATGTCCCTGGGGTCGACTCAGCCCCTAACAGAAATGAGTACCAGGAATTAATTAAATAATTTTCCTGGGGAGTAAAGCGCCGCCGGTGCGTAAGGCTGACAACCTTACCGACATCTTTGAGCCGATTGTCTAGATAATGTGGGACACTCAGCGTCTCACAACCCTATCGGCCTTCACGGCGTGTTACAGGGATAGCTTTACTTTGTGCTTTTACTTACTCCCCTACACTTACAAGTACAATCATCCCCTTATATCATCGTCGGACGTTTCTTACAGCACTGTTAAGTTCCTTCTTGCACCGCTAACCTCGGTGAAGTCTCTGTTACCTCGGAGCTACCTGAAGACTGCAAACTTCAGCTGTTCTCGGCAACTTCTAGAACTCAGCTCTCTGGTCCCTTCGAAGCTGGACTTTTATACCTTCGTCTCGGACGGAATATAGCGCACCATGTACTTTGGTCTCGGCCGCTGTTATGCAACGAACCTTTTGTTGTCCTTGTGTCTCCGGTGAAACGCGTTTGTTGCTAAGGTGTTCCTAGGCAACGGCCCACTGGTATTGCGTTTCCATGGAAGTGCGTGTTACGTTCCGGATTCCTGGTGGCATGCGACAATACCAATATGGCAGCCGAACGAACTGCTGACGCGAGGACGCCACTAGTTCCATTAAATGTAGGTATGTCTTTACTAATTTCTGTATGTCACACGGCCTCACTTTTTCCAACAGATGCGAACGGAGCTTGGACTCCCTTCGCTCATGGTTTTCGTCACATAGGTCATGGGATGTGAACTGGTTTTGTAATCAACCCGCAATCGCGTTGTCTTGCTTCTTTGTAAAGGGCCATGAACAGCATTTGGTGCCTTTGGTGCATCCCTGTTCATAAGCGATTTCGCAATAGGCCACAGAGCTTGAGGTGTGCCCTCACAGTTCGAGAGCCTTTTTACGGGTCATTCATCTGATGGTTTTAGCGACCCGATTAACTGCCGTTTTATATGCTGCATCCCTGGTTACTTTCCACAGTTTTCTTAACCTGACTTTTTGTGTTTTAGCAGACTGAAGACCAGGTAGATCGTTCTTTAGGCCCGAGAGTGTAAGTTTGCCTGTCGATAGCCTGTACGGCGAAGCTTATAGTGGCAGTAAAGTCGCTCTCAGCTTTATCGGCTTCTTCGCCCAGTTAATTTGGATTCTAGATGAAATTTTTTCAGATCCCAGACTTTGAAACCGCTCCCAATCTGTGAATTTGTCAACCGGGTCCTAAAGGTTCCTAGTTCTAACGTGATCCAAGTCAAAGTCACATTGCGACTGACGGTGAGTCAGTCAGTCCGTCCGTAAGTCTTGGTTCCGAGCATCATCTGGAGCTCATGACCAGATATTTATTACTGTTTGACAGCTACGGTCTTGTTTCTGTGGGGCGCCCTCTCTGACGAGAGGACGGGTCTGTCTTTTGTATATGATGCTGGCCCTTGCCAGCGCAGTCTTTCTGGGGTCAGAGTCCCTTAGTACTCGTGACCATATTTTACTGTCTCGGATTTGAGACTTCCCTTTTCGTCGCCTCCTACGACTCGCAGGGTAACGGTGGAGGTATTCGACCCCGCTAACATGATCCAGCTAGCTGGCCTTGCTTATAACATCTCGGCACCACCCGCTTAGAAAATATTGCTGCCATTATTGCTGTATTCTCTTGTTGCAGCGGAAACTTGATTGTTTGTGGAGCCGTTACCTAGCAACGGCTGCTATATAGTCGCTTATTTCGCGTCGGAGCCACATTATGTTGAGTTCAGATAGCTGTGAAATTAGAACTACAGTATGACACAGATTCTATGTTTACTTTTGCTTTTGGTGGCAATACATGATAACCCAGCGACGCTCGACATGTGTGTAAATTTGTGGGGAGATTGATCATGAATGTCTCGGAAAAGCTTGCACGAAAGACGATCTTTAAATGCTGAGAATTGGATACATGGCGACTGCGAGGATTTTAGACAGCCGAATTTTGTAGTCCCGGGTACCCGTGGAAATTGTATACAGAAGGGGCTCTTCAAATTGTGTGATTACTGTTCTAATTAGAGTTCTCGTAGCTTTAAGTCTGTCACATGCACAGAAACATTATTAATATTTGAAGGAAAGTAAAAGGTAAAAGGTAAAGTTGTCCTGTGTTTAACTACTTAAGCACTACACCATGAAGACGTATGGGGAGTGGTTGTATACATCCTTATTTTCTTGTCCTGGCACTATTTCGAGGTGAGTGGTCAGCTTCATGCCGCTTTACCCCCGGGTAAAGAGCCCCCGGTACCCACTGGATAAGGGGTTTGGTGAACCCCAGAACCGGTCTGGACGATTTGCAGATTAGAACATTCTTCACCGTACCGGGACTCGAACTCTGACCCTCTTAGTCGTCCAGCTCGTAGCCAGTCGCTATACCGACTGAGGTACCCCGGCTTCGTTTGAAGGAAAGTAGGTGGAGTAAGTTAGTACAAGCGGCAACGTTTCTAATTTGTTTTTTATAGGTTCCCACTTCACCTCCTCTGTGGTTTAGTGGCCAGAGTTCCTGGCTACAGATCCAGAGGTCCCGGGTTCGATTCCCAACGCTACCGTTTTTTTTCTGAGAATTAGTAGGTCTGTAACGGGGTCCACTCAGCCTAGTGAGGATAATTGAGAAGCTATTTCAAGGAAATAGCGGCTCCGGTCTAGAAAACCGGGATTAAGGCCGTGGGTATCCGTTGCGCTGACCACGTGACACCCTCTATCCACTAAAGTTGGGACAAACTTCGCCGACGAGCGCCGGTCGCTCGGTCGGTATAGTTCGCTTGCGGACTACAGGCCACAGAGTATAGCTTCCCACTTCGAATCACAGGCCACAGAGTATAGGTTCTCACTTCGACTCTCGGCCGGGACACCGACTATTATGACTTAACATTTTCCTGGTTTACGTCAGTCCCTCCAACCTCATGCCGAGATAATAGACCTACCTTAAATTAGGTCACGGCCGCTTCCGTTCACATCCTTTCTAACTTGTTCTCACACGCATCCAATTATTCGATACTGTACACTGCGAAGTTAACTGGCAGCATCGTTAAACAAACTACGAACAAGTAAATAGAGGGGAAGTTGCAGGTAGAAATTCTCAGTACGAAGATTTAAGATCAGGAAAAGGCAAAGTAGTTTATATTTAAGATATTTTTGCTCATATCTTGTGTAATATAGACGAATGTTCGAGACAGGTATTGACAAATGGAAAATTGTGTACAGAGCTCATTAACCGTTGCAAATGAAATGTATGCGCAGCTGTGACAAACCGATTCTTCTGGCAAGTTGTCAAGGATTATCCCAAACACCGTCATGCACCTGAAGAAAAATCGGCATATCTGTAGGGTCGTTAATTTTTTGTGTGATATATTTTCCACGTTGTTTATATCTTCTAGGGCAGGGTTTTCCGAACTCCTGGCCCACGAACCACCAGTAGCCCGCGAAAAAAATCGAGTGGTTTCGTCTCGATCTTCACGGTCAGGGTTTTCTGCTTATGTACGAATCACCAGGTGATTTTCATGGCGCAGTCGGTGTAGTATTTTCATTTTTAAAGTCATAGCCTCTAGCTGTTGGATAAATTTCATTGCGATTTTTTCAGAATTCATAAAAAATATTTTGTTTAATATTCAGATGGTCCGCCAAAGAAAATCCACGCAATAGGTGCTCCGTGGCCCCAGAAATTTTGAGAACCCCTTGTTCTAGACTATAACGTCGATTAGTAGGATGGATTATGAACTCTGAATTGAAAAGACGGGTTGTAATCGAGGGGCAGTATCCCAGTATTTGCCCCGAAGGGCTGAGGAAGATCACGTGAACATCGCTCACAATGGTCGGCATAACTGTGGGGCGTTACCGATCTGTGTGACGCGTTTAGTCCATTTAAGTTAACGCTTCTTGTGTTTATCCTCATATATTCAGTTTAACCGAAGAGGTCAGTAAACGGTCTAGACTTGTATTCGGGGAGGTCGTCTGAGATGTGGCGCCTTCTAGTCTGGTAGACGTTCACTGCTTTTCAGAGGAAGTTGCTGTCTCCATCTTCAGGGTACCACGAAGATCGGGGCAGAAAATACCTCTGAAATATCAGACTTCTATGTGACTACACGGTGACACAAGGAGCGAATCGTAGTCACTGCCGTGAGAATCTCAGATGACACCTTCAAACGTAGAGGGTGGATCAGGAAGTTACTTTCATAAATTTCGCTCAGGCCATACGTAACACCAAAATAACATTTGATGATTGTAGTCCACACTAAAGTCAGTTTCTCATAATTTCGCTGTACACTGAGGCATTTATTCCATCAGTACACAAGTTTGTTTACGCCATATTGAGATATTGTGTCCTTTTCCTGGAATTAAGTCCTTGCTACTTCCCACGGCCTCAGGATGTCGTTTGAATCGACGGCTCGGAAGACGTTTCTTAATGGCTCAAACGGGCGGTAGTTACTTTTGAGTCCGGATCGGAACTGTACAGTGGATGATTCCGAAGCTTCGTATCAGGCGTTTATAGGCAGTTCACTATTCATGGAGGTTACTTTTCAACCCGCCCCCGTACTTCGCGTCGAAGGCGGAAATTGGAGCTTTTGGAAGCATGTCATATTCTCAAATTATGTGATATTATCTACAGATATTGAACGAATATCAATTTGCATAACGTTAGTGATGAATTTTATGTGTGTGTGTTTTTTTTAGGTGTGCCATTCCCGCCTAGTCACAAGCTGACCACGGCCGAAGTGTTCGACACACGGACGACAAAACCGCGGCCAGATGTGCTGAAGCAGCACTTCATACTCGAAGGTCGGATAGATGAGACGGCGGCACTTCGTATTATTAATGAAGGCGCGACATTACTGCGATCAGAGAAGACTATGATCGATATAGAAGCGCCCGTTACAGGTAAGTTGCCACATACCTCCTCCGTTTTAAGATACAGTTGGTACACCGCCGTACTGTTTGTACAAGATGCTTCGGTAGTGTAAGCGTACACCATTGTATGGCATCCTGGGCCAGGCGAACTCAAAAAGCAGCATGTATTAAGAAATGCTTCCAAATTTGCTGAATCTTCAAACATTTTATACAGGTGTGTGTGGTACTAAACTCCGTGGTTTTAGTCCGCAAGCGAACTATACCGGCCGAGCGACCGCGGCCGCCGCTTGTCGGAGAAGTTAGTGCCAACTTAAGCGGACAGGGGGCGTCGCGTGGTCAGCGCAACGGATCCCCACGGCCGTTAATCTCGATTTTCTAGAAATATTTATATTTCCTTGAAATAGCTGCTCAGTTATCCTCACGAGGCTGAGTGGACCCCGGTCCAGACCCACTACTTCTCCGGAAATCGAACCCGGGACCTCTGGATCTGTATCCAGTAACTCTGACCACTAGACCACAGAGGTGGTCGTGTGTTTTCCTGCAGGGGTTAAATGAAAAATGAAACTCGCACAATTTCCAGGAGCCGGTATACTGACTGGTTATGGGCTGGACTGCCGGGATTCGATTCCCGGTAAGGAGAAGATAATTTTTTCTCTTTTCATCGACGTTCAGACTGGCTCTGGGGCACACCCAGCCTCCTGTTCAGTGGGTACCGGGGTGGAGCTGTACGTCCGCACCCGTACGTGTTACAGGGACAACTTTACAGAGTTTCCAGAATCCACAGAATGTTCTCGAGGTGTTCCGTTTTATGTGTCTGGGGTCCAAACGATCTGGAAATATTATGAGCGTGTATTAGGAAGTGGTTTGCATACGGCGCTAGACCTGAAAGAAAGCGTGGATTCCTATGGCCCGTGAACTGAAATGGGTAGCCCACAGCGTGTTGAGAATGCTCAAATTTTGTGTGACATGTTGAGACATTAATTCACGTTGAATTCCACGGGCGATGGAAACTGCGTCTTAAACGCGACGCCCGAGTACATTGATATAAACGTTAGGTCTACTGTTAATATGCCCTCAAAACAAACATAACTGGGGATTAATCAGACCGATATGTTTTTTTCTATATCCGTGAATGTAATGTTTTGTAATTTGAAAAAAAAAGCATCTAATTTTGGACATAGTTGTTGCGCCAAATGTTATACTAGTAGTGACCTTTTATTTTATTGTGTTCAGTTGGTGTAGTCAACACAGGAATAGTTGAGATTTTAACGGGTAAGTAGTTTCTTTAAACATTTCTGTCTGAAGAAATAAGTATATTGTTTCCACCGGTTCTTTTTCTTTTCGGAAATTCCAACATCGAAATCCTCCAGCGCTCTCAATCCAAGACTCTCCGATCCATTCTGAACGCACTTCGGTGCATAAACAACCAAAGGTTCTGTAAAGGGCTACAAATGAACGCATTGCGCACTGAAATAAAAACGTGGAATGCAAAATGCTTAAGAAAATGAGAAACCCCTCACTAATGCACTAGCAGTGAACCTGCTATACAATAGCGAAACTACATATAGACTGAAAAGATACATCGTCCTTACTCTACCAGACACACCTAAGTAAAATCAAAATGAAAGTATTAAAATGATACCTAAAACTCCGTGGCCTGTAGCGCGCAAGCGACCAATACCGACCGTGCGGCTGCCGCTTGTCGGAGAAGTTAATGCCAAGTTTTGCTGATTGAGGGTGTCACGTGGTCAGCGCAACGGATCCCCACGGCCGTTAATCCCGGTTTTCTAGACCGGTGCCGCTATTTCCTTGAAATAGCCCTTCATTTATCCTCATGAGGCTGAATGGACCCCGTTCCAGACCCACCACTTCTCAGAAAATCTGGTAGCGCCAAGGATCGAACCCGGGACCTATGGATCTGTAGCCAGGAACTCTGACCACTAGACCACATAAGCGGTCAGTACAAGAATTAAAATACCTAAGTGAACGAAAAGAAAAAAAACGAGAGTATGAGTTACGCCACTGGGAATAACTCATTCAAGAGCCAGTACTTATTGAACATACACATTTATTGTAGATTCTGCAGATTATGCATAATAAATGTGTGAAAAAAATAGTTTTAAAATTATTTATTGTACCTGTAACCACAGGCTAAGTGACGAAAACTGATGATAACTTAGAACAGTAGGCTACAACTTATAATCCCCTAATAATGTATAGCTTCACATCTCGATTAAAGTGACCCGCTTTTAATTTTGTCGAGGGGACCGGTAATCGTGACAGATTTTACAAATTTCCTCACACTGCCGGTGACATTAGCCCTACATCTGCTCGACCACGGCTACACCATTGCACGTCACACTTTCTGAGATTGTTCTTATTCGTTAATATACCGTGTGGTATTGACAGAATGCCGCTAAAACAATTAACAGACACCACATACAATTAGCATCCATCATTTAATGCATTTCTTACTCTCTTAACAGGTGGCTTGCGAAGCGATGTCGTGATAAAGAGGACATATTCATTATAAAACACGTGTATTTATTTTGGAGATTAGTTCCAGGCCCATACTTAAGCCTTATGAAGAAAAGTGCGCTTCGAAAAGAAAACAGCAGTTCTTTTTTCCGTGTTATTTTGTTAATTTACAGCAGACTTCTTACCATTTTTTTATATTTTTAATCTAGGCCCTAAATATTCAAGCCGCGCTTACAATTCTTGGCAAACTGCGGCCCAAGAAGGACTTCAATGTTATTCTGCTTCCATCAGATTTAAAATAAAATACTGTATTTATTGTTTTTTTTTTAATTCCGTATACACCACTAAAATACGTTTGAAGTAAAATTTCCAAGGAAATCTAAAGTAAGTTCACGCGTTTTCTAGTACCGTCGTAACGTTATAGTCGTGCAGTTTGCCTTACTTTCGTTTACGGTATACCCCACATTTGTTCACGACTACGGCACTGCATTGAGGCTAATGATATGGGCTCCTGTGAACACAGTAAGGAACCATCAGGTTCCATGAAGAACAGGGAATTTCTTGACTAGCTGAGCAACTGCTGGTGTTGTGGATTCCTGTGAACACAGTAAGGAACCTTTAGGTTCCATGAAGGACGCGGAATTTTTGTCTAGCTGAGCGACTGCTAGCTTCTCTGCTGACGGAGTTAGAAATTACAGTTAGGCGTAATATTCACTAATGAATGGCACGAGTGAATTTTTCTCTCTCCCCTCGTTCCCACTTTGGAGCACAGGGCTGATTTCTCAGTTTCGTGATCATTTTTACAGACGGTAGGACTCCTTGGACGGGTGATTGGAGTTTGGGGACATACTCTTATATGTAGAGGTTCCGTTGTTGCAGAGCGGTCGATGAACATATCTGAATCACACCTGCACTGAACATTGCTAGTGTGTATGAAGCGGTTCGGTTCCAAACCTATGCATTCAAATTGTTACTTGAGATTTGAGGTTCCCCCGGCTTTGCCTATGAAGCACACTTTGTTTCTTTATAGTCCGACAGAAGTGTACTACTTAATCTGTAGGCTCGAAGAGCACGGAGAGACGCAAGCAGTCTGCTACTCACTGATTTCCTCCTCGTCTTATTCTTCGATCCTGATGATGTAGGCAAAACGCCGGTAAACACTGCATGAAAGGGTGTCGGATAAATCTTCAGGGGACTGATGACATTGAGAGGAAAGTGTGAAGACTGGTAACAGGATTGCTGACAAGCCTGTGTATGTGGAGACCACCTACATGTTGCAATGTCGGGATGGCGGCTGGACGACCGAGGGGTCGGAGTTTGCGTCCCTTTAGGTTCAAGGTTTTCTCACCTCCACATTGTCCAGACCGGTGCTGGGGCCAACCCTTAGCCAATGGGTACCGGGGGCTGTTTACACGAAGGTAAGACGGCATGAGTGTGAAGCTCGCAACCCACCCCTAGCGAATGCCATCAAGAATGCGTGGATCTATATAGTTAGTTAAGCACAAGGACAACTTCACTTTTGCCTGCATGTTATGGGCCTCACGGATGATGCCATGTGCAGGAAATGTGGGCAGGAGGAGGAATCCTCGTATCACATGCTATCCCAGTGCCCAGCTTTGGCTCTACATGCTCAGAGCGGATGGCTATAAGGAGGCCCACAGGCAGGATGGTTCTGGCTCGAGCAATGTAGACGGGTCTGAGCGGGATCGGGGGTGCACACTCACTCAGTGGCCTGATTGCGCGGGACGACTAAAAAGATGTTCTCCTGCCGTGTCAGTACCAGGTTTACACGACTTCCTTCCTTCGATCCCAGGTCAGATCATGTGGGATTTGTGGTGGACAAAGTGGCGCTGGGGCGGGGTTTCTCCGAGTACTTCGGTGTCTCCTGCCGATTCTCATTCCACTAATCGCTCCACGTTCATTAACCGTCCTGTTATAGACGTCATGTTGTCCCGATACAGTCGGCATCGTTAAGTAGCCAGCTTTAAAACATTCACTGCGTCACATTCCAGAAGATAGTACAGTTTAAGGTGTCCAACAATTCCAGACTAAGTAAAATTGTAAAAGTTACACCGTCAGGCTGCTTCAACCGAACGTATTCAATTGCACTGCGTGTATAACCGCGGATGAGAAACTCTGTCACACTAGGTTATTTGCGTCCTGTGTAGGGGCGCAGGTAGGCATACCGTGGCACACTAGGAGTGTTTGCGCCCTGTTTAGGGTCGCAGGTAGGCATACCGTGGCACACTAGGAGTGTTTGCGCCCTGTTTAGGGTCGCAGGTAGGCATACCGTGGCACACTAGGGGTGTTTGCGCCCTGTTTAGGGTCGCAGGTAGGCATACCGTGGCACACTAGGAGTGTGTGCTTCCTGTTTAGGGTCGCAGGTAGGCATACCGTGGCACACTAAGAGTGTTTGCGTCCTGTTTAGGGTTGCAGGTAGGCATACCGTGGCACACTAGGAATGTTTGCGTCCTGTTTAGGGGCGCAGGTAGGCATACCGTGGCACACTAGGAGTGTTTGCGCCCTGTTTAGGGTCGCAGGTAGGCATACCG